GCCTGCTGCTCCTCCCCATGCTCCATGGCCCCCTCAGAGCCTGCTGCTCCTCCCCGTGCTCCATGGCCCCCTCAGAGCCTGCTGCTCTTCCCCATGCTCCATGGCCCCCTCAGAGCCCCCAGGCGGCACCAGCCCTGTTCAAAGGCAGGCAGTTGTGGCTCCAGCCGTGGCTCCTCGCTGTTCCCAGTGGGTGCCCGGCTTTATCCCCTCAGAGCTCTCCTGGAGCTGTGGCCATGGCCTGAGGGGTGTCTGGGCTGCAGGGAGAGCAGCACAGCAGGGCCTGGGCAAAGGAGAGCTGCCTTTGGGAATTTGATTTCAGCGAGGCCTCAGGAGTGCTCTGAGCCCTCTGGGCATGGACACAGGGTGACAAGGAGGGCTGTGTTCAGGGGTTTGGTGGTGGCAGGTGCTAAATGCCAACAGGCCTGGGGGCAGCACCCAGTGCACAAAGTGATCATGGTGTGAGGGGATGTCAGACATCAAACCCCAGCGCTGCTGGCTGCAGAGCACACAGACAGAGCGGTGTGGGCTTGGCGCGAGTCAGGAGATGAAATACAGATGCAGAGGGAAGTGCGGTGGGCACTCAGGCACACAGGCTGTCAAGCACAGCAGCAATTGACACTGGAGCTGCGAATCATTGAATCATTCCTGCAGAGAGGTCTGGTTTGCCTTCTCCAGACTTTCTGGGGAGCTCCTGCTCTTCCCAGGCCAAGGAGCTACCTCACACAGCCCAAGGTTCTCAGTTTGAGGTGTGAAAAGTCCTTTCCTTTCTCTCCTTCTCCCCAAACTCAACACATCCTTGTCAAACAAGGAAATAAGCAGGACATTTCTCCATATCGTGCTGTGCTATGGCTGGAAGTGAGCACACAGATGTTTCCTAGAGAAAAAACTACCCTGGTTGTCAAGCAGGTGATTGGGCTGCAAAGGAAGGTCTGGGTGTTACAAAGGGGACAGGTGAAACATTGCAACCCTCCCTGCTGATCCCAAAACCTAGGTGCTCTCCAAGGGCCTCATCAGGGGGATAACAGACGGAGGAACTTCCCAAGGGAATCTGCGCCTTTCCCTAGGGAAGCAGAGATCAGAAGGAGGGAGGCAGGGGCAGGCAGCCAAGGAAAGCAGAGTAGACTGGTATGCACAGGCTGCATTTCCTCGGGGGAGATTCGTTTCATATGCAGCTATGTCTTCAAAGGGGACACCAGGGTGCAGGGGAGCACCAGGGATGCTCCAGGGATGAATTGCCCCCCTGGGAACCTGAGTGGAGAGGCAGGTGTCTGTGGGAGCCAGCCATTTCCCAGGGGGGAGTTCCAGTTTGCCGCTGATTTTCCTAACAAAACACAGTCCTATGGGACTTTCCAAAAACCCATGCAGCCAGGGATCAATAAGGGCTGGGACTTGGGAGGTTATAAATCTACTGGCATCTCCATTTTGCCCAAGCTCCTGCTGGAATTAGGTGCTGATGCAGCTGCCTGGTCTGCCCACAAGCTCTGCAGGACATCTTTCCCCACTCTGCTGAGGCAGTAAATTGTAATCCAGTATCCCTCTTGGGAAAGAAAATGAAAGCAAACTCTCAAATTTCACACAGTGAAGCTTCCCACATTGGGAAGTTTGAGTTTCCAGCTGAGCATCCTCCCTGCTCCTCACCAAACCTGAGGGGCAAAGCCATGTCCTTGTGCCCCCTGCCCCTGGTAAAGGCTCTCCCTTCTCTGCTCAGCCCTCTCCCCAGGCCAGGTTTGATGGATTGCAATCCTCCTCTGCCATGGTCAAAACAAAGGTCATGGCCCGAGGAAATTGCTAACAACTTTTGCCCACCAGCCCCGGAAGAACGGGAGCATTCGTGACAAGGGGGTGAACTTTTTATGATCCCTCCACCCTGGCAGTCTCTTTGGGAAAGGAATTTTAAAAAGTGGCCATGAGGCTTCCGGGGGAGCTGACAGAAGAGGAGGGGGCAGCCCTGAAATGCTACCCCAGCCCCTGCCCCTTCCCACCTCCTCCCTCTCCTGCAGCAAAACCTCTCTGTCTCTGCCCTGGGAATTGACATTTGGGGCTCTTGTTATGGTCCAGAACAAGTTTACTTTTATTTTAGCACTTGGGAGACCCCAACACTCGTTTTGTGAGTGTATAAACATCCAGGCACCAACGCTGCACCTCAGACCAAGCTCATGGCTGGGAACAAGGGGTTCAGGTACATTCTCATCCCACCAGGCTTTGCTTTGCCCTCCTGTGCCTCTGCCTTCTCCACCAAGCAAAAACTGCAGCTCTGTGGCTGGAGGAGATACAGCAGGGTCCCACCCTTCAAGAGATCCCTGTCTGCTTGGAGAAGTTGCATTTTACATCCCAATGTGAGGAAAAAAAAAAAATCAAAATTTTTAACTTATGAGTGTATTTATTTTTCCTGCTTGGAGAAGTTGCATTTTACATCCCAATGTGAGGAAAAAAAAAATCAAAATTTTAAACTTATGAGTGTATTTATTTTTCGTAATACCTATAGGTGAAGATTTCTGTGATTAGAGATAATTTGTTTTAGCCTAAAACTGACTCTTCCTAGCTATCCCAAAAGTCCTAGTTCTGCCTTACTGTGAGATAGTCTCTCCCACACTAAAGTGTGGTGACTAATGAGAAAATTCAAGATGGGAACTTTACCTGCAGGATGCTTTATTTTTTTGAGAAATATACAAAAACAACCAACACCCCTCCCACAAAAAAAAAAAAAAAATCAAAACCCAAACGTAAAAAAAAAACCCAAAAAACCCACCCACCACTGATCATGGCAGATATTCTGGGTCTTCCTTCACCATTAGGCATTTCCAAAATGCTGCATTTAACTCCATTACAGCTGCATCATCCTCCAGCCTGCCTGGAATCAGAGCTTTCCCCAGGGTCTGCCCCATCATGGGGGTGAGCAGCTGCCATTTATTTCCACACCCAAACTGGGCCCTGTTGAAACTGATTTATCAAATCCACCCCCAATTCAAGCCTACATGAACAAGTTGCTTTTAAATGGCTTTTTTTGGGAGGAAAAGCTGTGTTTGGGAAGCATCCCTGTTCTCAGAGAGAAGGGGGCTAGAGAGAGAGTTTAAAGCCTCAGCCTAAGAGCTCAGGAAAGCTCCCTTTGTACAAGGGGGTGGGAGTAGCTCTGCCAGCCCATGGAATAAAGGAAAGAGAATAATCAAGAACTGTGGATAGTAGTAGAAAGAAAGGTAGAAAAAAAATAAAGGGACACGTGGCTTGGTTTGACACTTTGTCAAGATCAGGACAAGGCATTTCCTATAGCACAGATAAGCTTTGTCTCTGCCTGGGCTGCAAGGCAGTTCTAAAAGGAGCAGCTCCATCTGCCCCTTCCCCAGGACTGGTTCCAATTAGTGCCGACCCCACTCTGTGCTGGCTTAGCCCCAGGATTAAAAATCTCCCTGTGCCAATCCCCTCTGACCCAAACACTTCCTGGGACTGATGGGGGGACCAAATTCCTCCCCTTCCTAAATTGGACAGCTTGCTCTTGCCTCCCCAAACCCTGGCCCCTGTGGAGGGGAGAGGGGAAGGGGGAATTTGTGGCAGAGAGAGGCTCTTCATCCTCCCCAGCAGCAAGGAGCCAAGGTCCTGAGAAGCTTTTGCAGGGCCAGGAGCTGCAGCCCTGCTGGGAAAAACCCTGCTAGGATGTTTGACTCCATCTGCCTGCCCTGCACAGCAGGGACAGCTCTGCCTGGTGGGTTTGGGGTACTCAAGATGTCAGCAGATCACATCTCAGGCTCCTCCAAAGGCCCAGGATGGGAAGTTGCCCACGTGTGCTCCTGTGAGCTTCTTTGGCCAGAAAAGATGCTGGCCCCTGGCTGGGCCAGCGAGTTTGGAGTCCTGCACCATGGAAAAATGTTTCCTGGGCATCTCTTTACAGAGGCAGCTCTGGTGCTGAGAGCCAGGAGAGCGTGCTCAGCTTGGGAGCAGCCCCAGCCCCAGTGAGGATCCCACAGGAGGGGCAGATGGAGCCCACAGAGCAAGCAGCTACACTGCAGGGCTGTTTTGGCAGGAGACAGGAGTGTCTGCTACCAGCCCTGGGGGAAACAGAGGGAGATTGCACTGGATGGAGCTGAGGAGAAGGAAAAGGCCTGGGAATCCTTGTCCCCCCATCCTTCTGCTGTTCATCCCCACATGCCTCTGCTGGCACCAGCTTTTAAGGAAAATCACCTTAATTTTGTCCTGATGTAAAGCTGCACAATCAGCAGAATAAAGCAAGTTATTTATTCAGGGAGCAGCTGTGCAGTGGCCAAGTGCAAGCTGCCTCCATGCACCTGCAGCATGAAGCAGTATGGCAGTCCCTGGCTGTGATGCTATACCTGGGGAGAAAGAGCTAAGCTGTCTTGGAACACCTCCCTGTTGGGAGGGCTGCAGCCCCTGCCCCACCTCGCATGGGAGATTGAGTAAGCAGCAAACAGCAATGCCCTTTTGGGCCCAATATTCATTTGGAGCAGCACAGTGGGCTCCAAAGGCTTTCCATTCCTCTAACAGCCCCCGAGGGCCAGCATTAACCAGCACAAAGGGGACTCACAGGGGTTCCATCGGCTCCTCCTTGGCAGCATCACTCCGTGGGATCCACTCAGGGCAGTCACCTCTTTTAAAGCAGAGGTTTCACGTGGGTGTGGGGGCACAGACCACCTGTGCCCCAAAAGCAGGGTGTGTTCTGGGGGGAGAGGCAGGCTTCCTGGCACACCTGGGCTGCAGGAAAACCCAGAGCCCACCGGGGACTGTGGGGGGAGAGCAGTGACACCATCTCATTCCCACAGCTGGGCTGTTCACAGGCTGTGCTCCTGAACGGGAAATGATCCCGATTAGCTTTCCAGGTGCTCCCTGTAAATGGATTACAGGTGGTACAACGGTGTCTGACTGCAGGCCAGGGCTTTGTCTCTCTGAAAAAAAAGCCCTCTGTGTTATCCTCCCACCCTCATCCGCTTCCCCTTGCAAAGGAAGGGGGAGACCATCCAGGAGACAAGAAAACACACATACAGCAAGGGTGATTGCTATTTTAAGAATGTACTTTATACAAAATAACCAATTCATATGGAAATAAAATCTACAGACCTCCAAGGATCAAGATTTTAAAAAAGTTCTTTAAAAAAATTACCCAACACACAGTATTAAACTAACTATTGAGGTAACTGTCGCTCTTGGGGAACAAAGGTAATCAGCAGACCAAGACAAAATATACACAATATAAAAATAAATAGCATTCCCCTTTCCAGTATTGACCAGGAAAGTTCACACAACTTTGCAGCAGCAGGAGAGAGAAGAGGATCCCTGACACTGTGCTCTACAGGATGGGGAGGGAGGCGAGGGCTTGGGCAGCAGGTGATGGAGGGTGCAGCCCCTGAGGCCCTGCTGGGACAGAAGGGCTGGGATGAGCAGCTCCAGCATGAACTCCTTCTTGAGCTGATAAACTGAGCCCATCCAGTCCAATTTTTCCCAAACAGCATGGGCAGCTGTTCAGCCCAGTTTCCAGCTGAGCTGAGGACCAGCAAGCCCAGTCCTTGAGTGTGACATCCCAGCACTCCCAGCAAAACCTGCCAGTGCAGAGCCCCAGTGAGGGACTCAGGCAGAGGCATTTTCACAGCTTGGTGTGGGAGGTCTCTGCAGCAGCCTCAGCTCACCCTCCTGTCACCCTGGGACAGCTGCAAGCCATTGACAAGGGCCAGGCTCTTGCCCCCATGGCCACTAGACCCCTCCCTGCCCAACAACAAAAAGCACAGCAACATAAGAACAGCCTCACCCAAAAAGAGAAAGGCCCCCGTTTTCTCCTTGTGCCCCCGACAGACAGATTACATTCTTTACAAACTTACAATAATACAAAAACAACCCCAATGTTACCCAACTTCAGAAAAATGAACGGATGTAGTGGCATAGGCTCCCCCACTCCCTCCCCAGCGATGCCAAGGGAAGCAGCAGTGGGTCATTCTCCTCCCCCAGAGGCATTAAATCAGTGGTCCACCCACCCCTCTTCCATGTGCTCTGCTCTGTGGATGGATGGGTGGATGAGGCTCAACTTTATCCAACTGCTCCCTTCCCTCTCTGCCTTCCCAAACACAGAAGCAGCAACCAGCTCTCTCATGGCTACCTAAATCAACCACCCACCAGTCTCTGGGAAAGCAGGAACATGGCATGATAAAATGTAGGGCCACAGAGAGCTCCTCACTTCCGACTGAGACCCCAGTGTGTTCCACAGCCATCTTACCCTAAAACAGTACAGGAAGGTCAACGTTGCACTGCTGCATGTTATTATTGCTCAGAAAATCAGGCAGCAGCACTCACTGATCATCAGGGAGGAGAGACAAGAGTTTCCACAGCTGTACACAGTACATGCACAGGCATTTTTAACCTAAACCCCCCTGGAGGTAGACATGCCAGGATCACGTGTGGGACCAGGAGCAAACCCTTGCACTGGCAGATGGGCAGACAGCACTACGCCTGGGTGGCAAACCCCAGGGGCACACAAGAGAACACTCATGAGCCACTGAGGACACCCTGATTTCATGAGGAGAGTAAATGTGCTCCCCCCAGCTGCTCTGTGTGTGTGTGTGTGTGCAGAGGAGGCAGCTGGCAAGGCCAGCCCTGTGCCCTTTCATCCCTGCACTTGACAGCACCGACTGCAGTGAGGCCAGCAGAGGGAAACAGGCTTGAAAGCTGGGAAGAAAGGAGAGGGGAAGGGTTGGCATATGATACAAAAGGGAATCAAGAGGACTTTCCAGACTGAGAGTTGAGGCCTGGGCTCCCCTGCCGTGTCTCAGTGTTTGGGTGCACCAGGTGATGCAGGCCCCTTACTCATTTGATGTCCCAAGGAGTCCCCAGTGGCTCTCTGGTCTGACTTTGTCCACAGCAGGGGAATTGTGCTCACACAGAGTCAGTTCTGCTTTTATTTAGAAGATATTCCACTTACTGCCCTCATGCTAAGTGAGCCAAGTGTTTCCAAATAAAAGGGGCAAAGGACAGAGGGACATGCTAGAGTTGGTGAAAATCCCAATTAAGCCTCAGTCCTAATTAATCCTTTGTCCCCTCTTTCCCTGGTGGACGTAGCTCTCTCCTGGATGGGCTGTTCACTTTGATATCCACGTTTCAAAAAGAGGAAGACATTTGCCAAAAGAAATCTAGGCCATGGCTGCAAATGAAGGAAAAAAGCCCTCAATCAATGCAAGACCATCAGTGTTAGATCTACAAAATGCTCCACGGTCTCCCAAATCCTGCATGTCAGCCAAGGCAAGACAGTGACCACAAAGGGAAGGGCACAACACAGCTCACTTCAAAGGTACACTTGGATGTTAATATCTAGTCTCAAATCCATTAAACCCTGTCCTGAGTTTCCCTGCTTAGGCGTGGACTGAGCCTTGTCCTGGTTGTCCCCAGCAGCTCCTGTTGGGACACAGCTGGAAATGGGTCCCTCCCCAGCTCTTTTTCAGAGTGGGAGGTGGGCAGAGTGAAAACCAAAAGGAACAGTTCATTATGTGGTGGTTAAAAGAGCTCTCCTCCTCAGCGTGCTCACCCCCACCATGTGAAACAGGTTCAGATGAGGAGAGGGGTGAGGGCAACCTTTGAGATGCTCTCTCCCTGCAATAAGCACAGGCTCTCAAAGCTCACAGGGGCTGCAGCTGCAGCCCTCCTTGCACAGCTATCTCAGCCCTGGCCTTGCAGGAAGGACCTGGCACTCACACAACTGCTCTGAAGCACCAGCACCCGCCTTAAAGCAAAACAGGAATTCTGCAAGAGTAAACTCCTCTTCCTCCACTGATGCACCACAATAAAAACTTTTTAAGGGGTTGCTCTGATTAAGTGCAGACCCAGTTGCATGGCTGCTCTGCAGCAAGGGGAGCCAGGACCAACTACACCATCACAGATTGTACTGCTGGTCTTCTCCAAGCCATCCTTTGGGATGACACTTCCCTGTCACTCATTTCAGCACCTTCTCTGAAATTCCACAAAGCATACAGCAACACAGTCTTTTCAGAAAAGGAAAGCAGAACAAAGCCATCAAGAACAAAGAAACCACTCTGGCTGAACAGAGAGATGAACAAAAACCTGACAGGGATCAGTGGAGAAATAAAGAAAGATTATAAGATTGTTTTCTAATTATACTTTCATTTTAAATGGAGAAGTGTTGGGGTGAGAACCTGCAGGGGAGCTGCCTCAGTCAGCAGAATGAAAGACAGTCACTGTGACTTGCTTTCAGATAAGACATCACAAAGCTGATAGCTCTCCAAGACCCTGAGAAACCACACTTACAAAAATATACATGGGCGATTTGCTTCGGAAAGCCTGCATGGGAAAGGCATTTGGCAGACAAGAAAGAATCAGAAGCTTCCAAGAAAAAGTGTCTCCTCAAAGTCACAAATCAAACTAGTTGGGCCTTGAAGCTTCAAGTTTGCTTTCCTCTTTTGTCCTCCTCATTGCAGGCTTGTGCCTTGGATTGCTACTGAGTGGTTTGGTGGGTCACACCATGGAATTTATAGACTGCAAACTTCTAAGTTTGTTAAAAGTCACACTCAGTGACTGCCCTTTCCAGTTGAATTGCTAGGGCCTGTATCACCTAAGATGCCCAAAGATTCAGAGTCTCAGGGGGATTTTATACAGCAGCCTTTGCAATGGCAACTTGACATCCAGGGAGCTTGGGAACACCACACACCACTTAGAAAGGAGGAAGTGGTGGGGAGAGCAAGAGGCTAAAAAGGTACAGGAGCACACAAAGCTCTTCTGAGAACATGGGAAATTTTTGTCGTGCTTGAGCATGGTCAACTTCATAATTGTTCTATGTATTATATAAACTCATTTAACATGAAATCTGTAATTATAGCAAAACACATCCTCCAGATGGGAAAAGCAATAGCTGCAGGAAATTTTGCAGTCACTAGTTCAGGATGGTTTCTGAAGAAGGACCACCTGGTAAACTATTGTACTACAACAATGCTGGGGAACGCACTGGAGTTTCTCTGTATTGTGTTCAAAATTTAAGATAGTGGCACAAGCATGGCACTCAAAAGCCATCTTATTTTAAAGTGCAGCTACACTTCTCCTGCACTGCAATCCAACCCATGGCACAAAACACCACTCTGTACATAAACAGCTGTGATACTACTCTTCTAAATCCCTCAAACCTATCTGCCACAATATCTACAAAGCAGCAAGGTTTGGAAATCATAAAATTCACATTATCTGTTCCTCCTTACATTTGCATGGGTATTCCAGCCCAGCAATCCTCTCCCAGGGCTGTTCCCTCTGAGAGGAGTCAGTTTTCAGTGATTTGCTCAGATTGTAGCTAGCGAGATGAGGCTCTGATTTTGAGGGGATCCCTAGATATTGTAAGAGGGAAAGGAAAAACTCCCAACCCTCACTTATGAACAAAGCATTTGAAAGCCTGGAAACTCCAATCTAAGACTCCAGCAGCATCTCTCCACCTCAGCATGTCCTGTCCTCAGGAAAGCCCAGCCATTGCTCCCTGTATTCTTTACAAGTACTTTTCCAACAGAAACCATCTGTCCTCAAAACAGCAGCTTGTTAGCCACTTTAACAAAAATTACTGACTACATCCAAAGCCATTTACCAAGAAAGCCTCCAGAGGAGTCAGCTTCACTACCTGGTGTTGTTTTCCACAGCTGCAAGTCAAACCCTTCTCCCAGATTTGCCTCCTGTCAGGTGAGGGTATCTATCACTGTCTAACACTGCACTACCCTCTCCAGGCAGACCACAAGCAATTCCTGCTCTCCTTAGCTGCTCCTGTTTTGATTGAGGCTTGGTACCCATGCAGAGGCCATGACCACTAGAACCATGTTTTCAGTGCCAGTTCCAGCTGAAGTGTGCTTCAGCCTGCTTGGAAAGTTTTTGTAGCATCTAAAAACCTCCTGTTCTGCAACATTCACAATGGGCTGAAGGAGAGGCCCATTCAAATATTCAGCTGGCTGTGACACAGAAGACAGGCTGAAGTAAGGCAGGGCTTCTTTGCAGAATCTACATTCCCATTTCCAGTTTTCAATGCTTTGCTGCAAGTTATATTTTCCAGTTCCTCTGTTTTTAAAGCTGTTATTTCCAATTATTTTTATATCTACAGTGAAGTAAAGACTGCTTTACAAGGAGAAGCAACTGTGTTTGTCCCAGGTTTGTTGTCTTAAAGGAGTTATACTTAGAGACATATCATGATGTTTGTGGCTGGGGAAAGCAGTTACCCATTTCTCAGTCAAAGACCAACCTCCAGGATTATCTCCTCCAGTTTAGATCAATCCACCAGTCAAAATTGCTCCCTGACAGATGAATGCAAATGAAAAAAAAACAAAACAATCCACACCAAAAACCCCAGCTTCCCTTTCCTAATGTAATGGCATCTGTAGACAGATATTGGAAGTCATCCACAGTACATTGACAGATGTCCCAGGCAACTGCCTGGCCTAAGCAGCCAGCAGCTACAGCTCACAGACTGGCTGCAGCAGTGGGTAAGAACTGCATCTGAAGCACACTTGTGCAGTCACACGAGGAATTTTAACTCCTGTTAGGCTTGGAAAATGCCTTGGCCCTACACAGCTCATCAGAGGCAAAAGTAAGTATAGCAACAGAGAAGTGAGGCTCACTGAGCACTAACATGGCAGTCCTCCCTTTGCCCAACTATTTCAGGAAAGAATATTTCTCATCTTTTAGGCTTTTTGTTCTTCCAAAAGGTTAGGACAGAAGGAGCAATGGCTCAGTCAGATGCTAGCTGCCATTTCCTTGAAAAGCTCTGCCAGCTTGTGGCAGATCTACACAGCAGGACAAAGGCAGTACAGTCATGCATCCTGGTGCAATCCAGCTGAAGACATGGGTGATGGCACCATCCAAAATAAGAAATCAGACAGAAAAGTTCTCCAGAAACTGGAGACAGTACTCCTCCTCTAGCTGGTATCACACAGACTAAAGAGCAGGCTGCTCTGTGCTCCTGCTGCTTCCATACTCTGTGTCCCACTCCTTGCCAGATCCTCTTTTTAACCTGCACTGTCCTCTCCCAGTGCAACCAGCAACTCTTGCTGCCTAGGCTCATAACTCAAAAACTCCCCTTTTTTACTCCAGCTTCCCCAAGAATAATCAACTGCGTGTTAGCTTTAAGATGTGAATAAATGCAGATGAAATTCCTACAGAACTCACTTGAACAAGCAGTGGCTGTCCAAGCACTGGCACAGAGGGGTTTTCCCAGCGCAGTACTGCCACTGTACTCGGGGAAGCTGCCACTGGCCCTGTAGGACCTGCTGCCTGACAACAAAGTAAAACCAACTCAACTGGAGCATGCAGCCCTTTGGTCCCTCAGCTTCTGAGCCAATCAACCTCAACTTCTACCTCTGAATGAGTGCCTGAGTGCTTCCCAATTCACCTGCAACTTGCAAATGCCAAATCCAACAAATGGCTCACTGCAGTAATCCTACCATTCCCCCAGGGCAGCTTCTTGCTCTTCCTCCTCAGCAAGAGTGCTCAGGAAGCCTGTGGCACTTTCTGCTTCACTGCTGCTAAGAAGTGAATTTAGCCCAGGGTCAGAGAAAGAGGTGGGGACCCTTGTTCTACTGGATAGGTGCTGCTCCACCTGCAGCTGCACTGGTTTCACCAAAATAAGTTTTAAGATGACCAGTTATGCCATTTTCTCTTTTCTAGAGCACACACTTCTTCTACCAGAAAGGCAGGGAGAAGGGTACTATACTAGCAGAAGGGACAATGCCATGGGTGTCCTGCCCTGGTTTCAATTCCTGGTCCTAGATTCCTTGTTCCCCCATGATGACAGGAGTTGGAAGTGCACTCAGGCCCTGGATCCAGAGGGGTGGAGGTGGGGGTGAGAGGGGAAGGAGGAAGAAGACAAGAGAAAGAGGAGGACATGTTATGCTCCTGAGCAATTCCCGCTATTAAGTCAACCAGCCATGGGGTCGTGTCTTGGTTGCAGAGGACAGGAAGGGGGACAGCAAGTCATCCATCAAACATTTCCTCACCTCTCCCCACTGCCCCCAAACTGTCACCCTCTCCTGAAAGATTTCAGTGTGATATGATTGTAAACAGTTAACAATTCCTCCAGTGCTAAGCCCACTACAAGCTGGGCCCACCCCCTCCCCCATTATGTACAATACATTCACCAACAACAGAAATTTATTTAGAAAGGCAACAGGTTAAATTCTGTAAACTGGATCCAGCTCCAAAACACACACGTTAATACTACAAGTAAAATTCCATCATCGTCCTCTTCCACCCTGAAAAATATACCTGAGTTTAGCAGTCAATGAAAGTTTCCACCCCCACCCCCGCCCTCCCCACCCGAAAATTCCCTCAAACCCTGAATGAGACGCAGTCTCCGGTCACAGAAAGCCACTAGTTTGGGGTGCCCTGTGTGGTGAGCCAGCTCTCGGCTGGCTGGGGCCCAGCACCTCCGCGGGTCTCCAGCCCAAAATCCGGCCCGGCGCCGCGCTCCGCAGACCCGGGAAGCTCCGTGCTGCTCGGGCGGGGGAGGCTGGGAGCAAGGCCTGCCCCTCCTCTCCGTGTTCCTAATCCTGTGTGGCTTTCGTCTTGGTGAAGTCTGTCCTTTCTTGGACTAGCTCTGGAAGAGGAAGAAAAAGAGTTGGAGCAGCTTTAGGAAGGAATCATCTCGGGATTGCACGCAGCCAGTTCAAAGCCAACACTAGTGATCTGCCCAAGTTCACAGCTTCCTCCAGCTCTTCCCACCCTCACCAAACACCACAATCCTTTAACCACTGCGGGGAGAAAGACTTGCATTTCAGCTCTGCTCTCTCTAGCAGCCCTTACTTGATCCAGAGGCAACGCTGATGGTTTTTGTGGTGTCAAATCTTCCCGGGACATGGTTGCTGTAGGCATCTTCGGGAAAGGAACTTGAGCCTGATGCATTTGCATTCTGGAGTCAGGTTGAATGGAGAGAGTTTTAGCACATGAATGTCAGGAGCAAATCCCCACTCTTGGTTAAAACTACTTCACTGAAGGCATACATACAACATTAGCATACAAGCATTTGTCTTGTATATTCTGTCTGGCTTCCCCCCAAAACACAGCCCTCAACCCACACCATTCCCCCAATGGCTCAGCTTTAATCCAAGTTCCCTGAATATTAGAAGAATGAAGGACTTGATGCTGTGGTGATGACAAAACAGTAACAGTTGAGGCACATTTATAAAAACTAAACAGGGAATTGGTGGGAGTAGCAGTATTTTCCACTTGGAAATAAAATGTGATACGCAGTCTCAGTGACAGGTAATTTCCTGTGATGGAAATTTGACACAGAGAAAAGGGGCAAAGCAAGAGGAGGAAAAAGACAGCAACATAAGGATGTTCATAACAAGAGGCAAACTTCCACTTTAGTCAGTGACTCTGCCCCACTACAAGCAAGATTAAAAAAAAAACATTTGCAACGAAAATGGCAAGAGTCTGTGTGATTAAGAGATGCTCAACCCTGGATGACACATTAACAAAACTGTCAGGGGAAACTCAGCACTGGTGTGGGGATGGATGAAGCAGGCTAACAGGTTCTCCATGACAGCGAGTGCTCCTTGCTTTAAGGAGATGCAATGAGACTCTCTCTCCATCTTAGCACTCTTACTCCAAGAGTCACCTCTTAGCCTTTCAACTTGACTTGCCATCTCCCGTGACTTGAAGCCATATCCCTACAAGGGTATCCACCACTGATGGTCACCCAGGCATCCCCCCCCTCCCACCTTGCCTTCTTGCAGAAAACACGATCTTACCCCGAGGGTCTATACAAGTCCTGGGGTGGCCCCCCCATGCCACCTCCACTGCCTCTCTGATCCATCAGCAAGGCCTGAAAGTGACCCACGTTCTCCTCTCGGCAGCGGTACAGGGGGCCCTCCTGAGAGAGGCCATTGGCCTGGCTGGAGGCTGGGTGATGAGACAGGTGAGCATTCATGGGCGATCCATACGTCCTGGGCTGGAAGTGGCTGGCAGGATGCCGGGATCCATAAGGAGAGCCAGTCTGTAGCATCACCCCGTGGGGAGGGAAAGCCGAGGGGCCGAATCCCATCCCTGCACCCAAGTGTGGTGGGGGGGCCCCGTAGAGGAACTCCCCCGCTGCCACTGAGCTCTGCCTCTTAGCGGCTGCATTGTGGTTGTCCAAATCAAGAAACTCTTTGGGACTCTCCGGCCTTTCCTGGGACTCCTCGGACTTCTCATCTTCAGGGCCCAGCTCCTGCCCGTCGCTTGGAGAAACCTCTTTGGCACTTGCTCCATCCACGCGGCTGGGAGAGGCCAGGGCGGCGCTCAGCGCCTCGCAGCCCTGCAGGCCGGCGGAGCCCCGCTCTGGGAAAGGGGGCCTGGCCAGGGACGGGTGGGCACCGGGGTGCCCGCTGGGGCTGGCCTGGGCGTGGAGAGGTCTCTGCCAGTCCGAGTAGCCCTGCGGGCAGCCGTAGTAGGGCGGTCGCTGGTAGTGGTGGTAGGAAGGCTGGGGCTGTGGCTGGTAGGGATACGGCATTCCCTGGGGCGGCCGGTACCGTGGGAAGACGCCGGGGTGGGCGCTGCTTGGCTGGAAACCCCGCGGGGGAAAATGCTGGGGATGGGAGGCAGGAGGAGGTGGCTTCCCCCCCATCACGGGGCTGAACCCCTGCAGGCCTGGGTTGATGTGGTACCGCCCGGCTGAATTCGGGTATTCCAGACTGGACATGTAGAGAGGATGAAACTGGTTGGGGGTGGCCCCCATGGAGGTGGCATCCACGCCAGGGAGGCCGCTGCCCTGTCCCATGCAAGGCACGGCTGCTTCGGGCAGGGCCTTGCCCCCGCCGCAGAGGGGCTTCTCCAGCAGGTTGGCAGCCAGCCCCTTCCCCTCGGGGCCGGCTGCCGGCCCCTCGCCCGCCGCCCCATTCTGAGGCAGGGGACCCCCCCTTTCGGAGGCGGGCACCAGGTCCCTCACGCAGCCAGGGTCGCCGGCGTAGCCGCTCTCTGCTGACCACGCGCCTTTGCCCTGCCCTGCCTTCAGGTCGCCCTTCCCAGCGGGGCCATCCCCCTCCCCATCCGGGGGCAAGGCGCGCCTCGTGCACTCCATGGGCAGCGGGGGCTTGGGATGAGGTAGGAGTTTGGCGTAGGGCCCGTCGGGAATGCTGATGCACTGAGCCTTCTCGTCCATGCCTGCCAGCGCGTCCACTGAAAGAGAGGGAAGAAAGTCAACCACACAGTCTCGTTTTTGCAAATTTGGGGGATCCTTAAGTGGTGCTTCTTTTAAAAGTGCTCTTTTAAAAACTGCTCATGAGGTTGTATCTCTCTCTGAAAGATGGCACAGGTAGACACTGCAGTTTGCTAGCCACTGCTAAGTCACAGCCCCTCTGGAGTAACATGGCACGCATGCTTGGTCTGACACAGAGGTGTGCTGCCTAAAGAAGAGGCAGAGTTGGGGTCCACATGACAGCATCATAAGGTGTTGGTGTACTGGCAGCTTGATTTCAGGCTGCCTTATCCCTTCCAGTAATAGAATTATAGAGTAGTTTGGGTTGGAAATACCTTAAAGATCATATAGTTCCAACTCCCCTGCCGTGGAGAGAGACAAATTCCACTAGACCAGATTGTTCAAAATCCCCTCCATCCTGGTCTTGAACACTTCCAGGGATGGGGCATCCACAGCTCCTCTGGGCAATCTGTGTCAGTGCCTCACCACCCTCATAGAAAAGAATTTCTGCTGAACATCAAATTTAAGCCCACCCTCCACAAACCCTGTTTGCATCCAGCTTGGGCAGGAGCACCACCATGCCCTGAGATACTGCAGAGCTGATCACAGCCATATTTTAACCAACTGTGGTTTGGAGATGAGACTGCTCTGTCCTGCAATCACTCAACTTTCTCCCCTCTCTCTGTTCTGTATCCAGCAAGCTAAATTATGATAACTTTTAAGCAATGCCACACAAGGAAAGAGTTTCCTCTCAGTGCAAGGCACACAAGGGATTGATAAAAGATACAAGGGTTTTGATCTCTAGTTTACCAGCTAGAATTAATGAAAAAAAAATTTTTGATCTCAGAATTTTTTTGATCTCTACATTAGGTTTTATTTTTAAGGTTCTTTTTTATTATCTGCAGTTTACCGGATAGAACAAATGAAATTCAACCAGAAAGAAACTGGTAAGGGCATGCATGACATGTTGCCATCCCACCTGAACTGATACAGCTGCTCAGGGGCTTTTGGGCAGCCGTGGCATGTGAAGATTTTAAGATGTTGAGAGCTCATAAGGCAGATGTGCATTTCAGAGGAGAAGCTATACTTACACACACTCAAAGGAGTGTATTTAAGGCATTTACTCACATAACATCTCCTCTCCTTGCCTAACTCTCTGCAGATCCAAATTTTATATTAACTCCAGGTGAGCTCTAGAAGCGTTACAGACTATGCTTTGCATTTGCACCTTGTGGCACACTGATAACTTGCAGGTAAAGCTGGGACAGAGGGGACCTCTGTGAAACAAAACAGTCCTAGAAAAACATAAGCAATGCCCTCAGTAGAAAATGTATTCCAACTTAGATTAAAAAAAAACTGTGTGTAAAAACTCCCAAATATTTAATCAAGGTTTTCATTATTTTCTGAGCAGTGGAGGTGACAGATGCAGGCAGGGCAGGACAAGTGCTACCGGTGGGCACTCAGGGCGTTACCTTGGTTGCTGTCCATGTCCATGGCGTGGCCGGCTGGCTCCTGGGAGCTCCCGTTTCCCATGGCTTTTGGGGGCTGGCCGCCGGCCGAGGCGGCGTGAGCCAGCTGGGGAAAGGGCCCGGGGAGGTGCGGCGGGGGCGGCTGGCGAGGGTGGTAAGGCACACCCGGCGGGCACACGCGGGACGACAGCTGCTGCATGGCGATCATCTCCGGGCTGTCCAGCATGGAGTCCCCGCCCTGGCACCCTCTCTGAACCTGAGGCGGCCCCCCAAAGAGAGCGGCCGGCGGCTGCGGCATCCTCTGACCCGCGCCCTTCCCAGGCGGCCGGATGTACCCTGAGGGAGGCACCCCGTGAGGTAGGAAATTTGATTGCTCGCTCCACTGGCTGGGAGGCAGCGGCGGCCTCATGGCCCGCGGGTCCATCATATGACCCAGGACCCGGGGCTGGAGAGAGGGCCCCGGCCCCATGGGCGCCTTCTCCTCCGGCCCCACAGCGGCCTGGCCGTGGCTGCCGTTCCACAGGGCCGCATGCGTGCGGTTCAGGTACTTGTAGGGCCGGTACATGTGTCCCGGGGGCACCTCCGAGCCCTCCGGCGCCTTCACCGCGGGCCCGTTGTGCCGCGGCGGGAGGAAGCCCTGCTGGAACTGGGCCGGTGGGTAGACGGCGTCGGGCGGGGGGCCCCCCACGCGCCCCAGCTGCAGGGAGCCCAGGCGGGGGCCCAGCCCGGCCACGTGGGCCGGCGCCGCGCACGGCTGCTTCTCCGGAGTGCCCAGCCGGTGCCCGCGGTGCTCGCTCAGTCCCACGGCCGGCTGCGGAGAGAGAGGGGGGTCTCAGAGAGAGCCACGGCACCTGCGGGGCCTGGGGTGCTGCAGCCCTCAGCAGGAGGGGCTTACCTGCATGGCAAAGTGCTGGTGCTGCTGGACCGGGTCTCCGGGATGGGGCTCGGGCACTCGCGGAGAGCCGTACAGTTTTGTGGGATCGGATCCATGCAAAGGGCCAAAGGTTCCCGGCACCGCTGGTCTCTGAGGGATGGGAAGGGATGCAGGGGGGAGAAATAAAACAATTTGTGAAGTGTATAAAAGCAGCAGAAATACTGCAGGTGAGGGGAAGCCAAAGCTGGAGTAACCACACAAATAAGCTGCTGGACTGTTTTTACACTCTCTTCTACGAGGTGACACAGTGTTATCAAAGCCATTCTGTCACACCTCAGCCACTCACCCCCAAACTTAAGGCTGCAATACTCTCACTTGCCACCCAAAGAATGGTGGGGGGGAACAAAGAAGGCTGGAGAGGGCAGTGGTTTGCTTCAAGAAAAGGAATGGACCACAAGAGCTTGGAAGCAGGAAGACAACAGGGAATGTGCTGGATTTCCTTCAAAATACTCAATGCCTCCAGCTCTCCTACTGCCTCCCACTATCTGCAGCACAAGAATCACTCTAAAAAATTTGTTTGATCTCCAGCTAAAAGGGCAAGGCATAGCCTAGATCTCAGGAAAACAGCAGGTACATCACACCACAAGCCATCACTAGTTAGAATGGAAAAGGCAGTGAAGGGTGGGTGAGGAACAGCCCAGAAGGGAGGCAGAACAGAGGTGGCATTCAGAGAAGAAACGTTGGGCTAAAGATAGGTCACTGCTGCAGTCCAGGGTGGCCTTTGTTTGATTTAGTTTACTGCTTTTATAAATACTCAAGCACGAAACGCAGTAGTACACAGATGGCACGAAGTTACCAGGCATCTGTAAACAATTGAGACAAAAGAAGACCAGATTGTTCAGCTTCATAAACTGGGGGGTTAGGGAAGAAATGTTACAGCTTTCCATGCACACTGGGGTTACCCTCCAAGGGGAGAAGAGAACTGGGGGAATCTGTTTGTGCAAGTCTGCACTGGGACATGCCAGCCATAAGAAACATTAGGAGATTAAAAATCTAAAAAAAAAAAATAATTAAATCTAAGGGCTGAAAGGTTTCACTTAGAGAAACCATAGCTCTGACCCTTTACCTCTGGGAAAAGGTTCCTGACATGCACCAAGGATTTCATGGTAGGAAGTTTCACTCCCCGTTACCTCCCTCCCTTGTCCTGATGGGCAAAGTACAGCAAGAACTGCTTCTTACCATCTGCCCAGGATGTGGCACAGGGCTGGGCATGCCTCCATACTGCAGGGAGCGGGGGAAGCCTCGCCCGTTGGAAGGGCCCACTTCTCGAGCACTCTGCACTGCGTTGCCACTTGGGTCATCCACAGAGGACGAGGAGAAGGAGGAGGAAGAGGAAGAGGAGGAAGAAGCGGGAGCCCTGGAAGCAGCTCGATATGGTGGAGGTTTGCCTCCGTTTTCCAGGCGTTGCTGTCTCTTGCCATGCCCATCTGGGTCCCGTGACCGAGTCCAGACGCTGCCTGTGCTGGAGCGGCCGGTCCGCCGGCTCCTCTTCTCTCGTCTCCCGTCCTCTCTGATCCAAAACTCCTCATCTGTGTCTCCGTCTTCCCCAGGGAAGTGCTTCATCATTGCACGGTGGAAACACCTCTCCAAGTTGTAAGCCATCTTTGTATACTCTGCAGTCAAAACCCCCCAAAAACGTCAGAGCCTCGTAGAGAGAAGCAATTAGGCAATTATGCAACATCAGATAAATCATCTCCCCTCTGCCAAGTTTCTCCAAGGAAGACTTTTGTTTCTAACTAGTTGGCTTTGGTTCCTAAACTCCATAAGCAACACAGCATCATTTCTGTTCAGTAACCCCAGCAGAGGACAGGCACACAGGCATGACAAAGTACCACTGGCAGCAGGGCCTGCAGAGTCAGCATTAACGCAGTGTTCCAGCCTGGTGCCAAGAATTACATTAGGGGAGCACCACCTCTGCTCACAGAGATGTGTGACCTGCACAGTTAGCCAGCAGGAGTGCTGAGAGAAGAAATGTGAATTTCCAGCAATGCTATTTGATTACTTTCAGAGGCTTTTCTTGGACTTGTTCAGAAGTCTGCTGTGGGCCACAAGACAGAGGAAAATCAGCAAACACATTTATTCATCTGTGCAGTTTCCAAAGCACTTGTTGACCCTGACACAAAAGCTATTGCAAACACCAGTGTCCCCACTGCATCATTTCTACTGGACAGCTCTGCTGAGATGAGCTTTTACTTTTTGTTGAGTGGGTAGGAAGGAAAAGACATGTGAGAGGTGCTGGTAACAAGCAAGTGACTTTCCAGTTGTTTGCACTAAACTAACCCTGAAGTTCCTTGAGGAACAGAGCTCTCCCAGTGGCGGTGCAGGTATGCTTTTACTTCCAGCCAACAGCAACAAGCTGATTTGTTCTTAATATTGCTCTCCCTTTCTCACCAGGTGCTGCTGGTGAGACAGTCTGCAGTGATGACCCACCATATGGGAACTGATTTCTTATCTAAGCAACACATAGAATTTTAATTGGCACGGCAATTAGGCCCAGGATTTCCCATTTGCACACACGTTGTTCCTTCAATAGCCAAGGAAGCTAAAACCTACATTTTCCATCCAAAGGACAGGCATGGTTCACTCCTCACTTTCCCGTGGTACTCAACAAACACTGGCAGTTAACCAGATTCCAATGCTTTTCAAAGTCTGTTTTAGTCACTATGAGGAAAAGGGGCACACAGGCACACATCAACACATGAAGGAATGAGCTCAGAAAGAAACAGACTCTCCTCTCTTTCTGTGTTCTGCCTTCACCATCTACCAACGTGGCAGTCCTTACTATGCCATGCCTCAATTCAGCATAATCAAACTGTGCTAAAGGACTCACTAAAACCCAGTGCAGGTCTCAGTAACTATTACCCTTTCATCTGGTCTGCCAAAAATATTCTGAAAGGGAAGAATCACAAATCAAGTACTGGTGAGGAGGAAGAGGGCACTGCTTGCTTTGGCTGAGCACTGCAAATAGACAAATCTAGCATCTTACTGCTCTTACCACTGCCTTCACCGTTGTACTTAAGACAGTTCCTGAACATGGTCTTCATATCACCCACAAATTCATCCTTGGTGCAGTACTGACCTCCATTCAACTTCTTCTCCATGCTAGAGATATCCATGGGGGCCTGGAATACAACCAAACTTCCCTTCAGTTACAGAAACCACAGTGGGGCTTGAAAAGTTAGAGCTCAGAGAGGGCATGGGCAGCAGAGGATGTTCTCCAGAGAGGCAGCCATCCATCTTTGGTTTTCTTGATTTGTAAAGTTAGAAGGGACTGCCAGAATCATGGAGATTGACAGTGAGAGTAACACAGCCCATCAAACTTCAAAACACTTCCCAAAAACTGCATCCCAGTCAACAAAGTGCATCATTCAAGATGGCTGGGCCACTTTCCATACCTTAATGATCTGGTAATAGTTGGGAGCATAGGATTCGTCAACGGGCTCCAAGAAGGGCCAGGAGTCCTTGTGAGCCTTCACCACATCTAGAACTGGCAGTAGCAAGAGAAAGGTGAATTCACTCACACACACAGAGAAGTATTTCACTTTGAGAAAGCTGGGGTGGGACTAACCTTTGTACATGGCTGTGAACTCATCGTCCAGTTCAAAGCTGTAATGGGAAGCACCACAGTGAATATGCAGACTGAGGATAGATAAGACATGCTCTGTAGTTCACCTTCTCCTCCACCCATGCAGTGCCATAATGCTGGCCAATGAACCTCCTCACAAACACTCCTCTCATACGGACCAAACCCAGATGTTTCTCAGCTTACTCCTCTCACTGTTCTCCATCCTCACTTCTTCTGCATTCCTGTGAACGATCACACGCCTCTCCTTGCCATACTTACTCTGCTTCCATACACTTGTGTGCTGCAATGCCCCGTTGTGTACTCACATGTCCTTGGTCCTTCGCTCTTCCCTGCCAGGGGAACTGGGATCCAAGTGGGAAAGCTCAGGGGGGAGCTCCTTCCCCTGTGCCAGCAGCCAGGCCCGCTCTTCACGAAGTTTCCTCCTCCTGGCCCGTTCTGCAGTGGAAAGAGATGAAAAACCATTCAGCACTCTTTGCCCACATTTTGCAGGGAAACAGAAGGTGCTCCTGCAGCTCTCAAGAGCTCTGGTGAGATGGTCTTGTTGTTTCAGCAAAAGCAGCACCAGCACAGGAGCAGGTGAGGTGAGAATACAGTGCACCATCAACACGCCTCATCATCCTCCCTTGGTAACAATCACCAATTTTGGAGCACCACTGTGACACAGATGCTGCCTCAGGCAACTTCCAGAAGTGGTGTGGTACAAAGAGGGAAGCTCAACACCAGCCCTAGGCACTATGGAAAGAGCTGGCTCATTGTTATCTTCTTTTAGGGGCTTCACCTCAGGCAGGTGAACTTGAGGCAGCTGCCTTTACACTGAACAGGATGAAGAGCAGTGCTGAGGGAGGGAAGTTCTACCAGCTGAGTGGCAATGAGTAACTGGGGTCATTTTTATCCTCCATGCCTGGCTTTGGGAAGATTGCTCAGGTAGGTCTTCATGGCCAGCAGCCAGAGTGAGCAAGTTGCCACACACGAGGGCCACTGGGACAGCTTTCATTTAAAGAAGTGAGACACAGGAAGAAGCAATGCTGGTAATATAACCTGTGGTTTGCAACCAGACAGCTGGCCAACAGATTGCTTCATAATAGAAAGTTTATGGGCTCTTATGAACCTCATTTCCTTTTTCTTATAGGAAATCTGAATTCATTTGACTTGCGAAACACCTGCGGTTGGACCAACCTTCTGCAGGAGCAGAATTCTGTGAAAGTAATGCTCAGGGAGAGATGTCACAGGAACAGGCCACATCAAGGAACACCCAGAGTGAAAGAAACATGAGGAAGACTTGGCTAACACCCTCTAGCAGAGGCTCTGCCTTTGGCAAATGCCAAAGAGATACCAGCTCTGGCGGGAAAATATTTATTAAAGTCCTACACTGTCAGTCGAAAATAAATTTGGGATGGAGGTTGAGAGCACAAGAAAAGTAAGAATAGCTACAAGGTGAGTGTTTGTAGGGAGATTCATTGGCAGATATGTCAAAGACTGGTAAAAGAAAGCCTGAATTTCTTGTTAGAAGACTCAGGGTAGCTGAAGCTGGGATTATAGGACTTGCATCTAAGGTGTCCTACAGAATCTAAGAGAATAGCATGATCCGAAGTCCAACACCCAGTTTCAGGTAACAGAGACTATCTGAGTCACTGTTCAGAATTCATGCTTGTTTCATAATTTGCAATCCTTAGATGGCATTGCAATGGATGCCTAGGTGAGAGAGCTGAGGAGAACATGAAGTGATTAATTGGGCAGGAAATGGAAAATCTCGTGACAACAGCAGACAAGAGGTAAAGATGGTGTAGATTTTAGAAGTGCACCAATGTCTGCCAAGGATCTGACCTGGTAAACTGACAGGAATCAAGGAGTGCTACCCTGGTACCAGATCTCAGCTAGGATTAAGACCAGGAGCCTCTACCACAGCTAGTGATTAACACAGTGTGCTCAAGGTCACTGGCAGAGCTCATTCCCATACTGTTGGTCTGGGTTGAGTCCCACCCAGCAGCTTCCAGAATCTAAATAATGCCCTAAAAAGTACCTCAACCAGCTACAAAGTCATATATGTGAGAGATTATGTTGAAGCAGCACCTGGAAAGAGAACTGGGAAACTCTAACCTGCTGTTGTGACAGAAATCTAGAAAGCTTCCCTAACTTATAAATTCAGCAGAGTACAGATGGGCCCAGCAGGAAAGTTGCTACCTGGGGGGTGTGTTGGAGTTGGGGGAAGTGTAATCTCAGGCTGGAAACAGGAATGTGATGTTAAAACAGGAATACCATCCAAAACTGAGAAGAAGGTGAAATTCATCACAGAGAAGGTATTTCCCACCTCCCCTCTACAGAAGGCCATATAAAATTAATATTATATTCCAAACAGACTGAAAATTAGAAGAAAATCTTTGTTACCCTAAAATTTCTGTTGTCGGATGTACAGTTCTAACAAGTCTGAACCAAGTAAAATAAATGACATAATTTTCAAATAATTTCCCCTCCATTATAAGAACTGTCATGGCAGCTAATGCTAGTGGTGGCTGTGCTTGGCACTAAGAAAAGATCATTGAGAAGCCAGTTTTACCTGGAGAGCTGCTGGTTCTAGGGATAAAAAATACTGTAGTGATTTAACTGAACAAGTCAACATAACCTTTGCAAACAGCTTTTGCACCAGCTTAAAAGAAGACTTCTCCTGACTAAGCCTAAATGACTTAAATGTCTAGGAAAGAGTTTAAACTAAGTGAAAGACACCTGTGCCAATAAAAGCAAGAATGTATGCTAACTTGGCTTGAAAGAGGCTACTGCTCAACCTCACACCAGTTTCTTTGCATGGCTCTGATTCCTTTGAATCCAATGATGTAATGATTGCATTTACCCAGAAAAGGAAGTGGCTTATACCAAAACAAAAGCATTTTACAGGAACATTTATCTCTGCAGCTCTTGTGGAACTTCAAGACTAATTTTGTCTATAAAGATGAAGCATTAAACCACAGAGAATATGCAATTTGCCAAGGGAAACAGCTATCTGTGGCAGATATGGAAGCTGGACGAGTCTCGATTCAAGGCACCTGATTAGCTAGGACTAGCAACCAGGAATACACCAAGGCCAAGGAAGTAATTGGTTTTTCTAATGGTTAGAAAGGTAAGCAGGTAAAAGAAGCTATTCTTAGATAATATCTGGCCTTCTACCAAACATCTGGTAGCAAACTGTTTCATTTTGGAAAGTTTACAAGGGTAGCATGAACTTAATAATTTTTTTTTCCTTTTCTGATTCTTTATCCACTTTGGGACTCATGATACTGATACTGCCCCATGTTGCCTCAGTTTTCTGAGGATGTTCAGCCTTTCTGTAGAACTACAACAGCCCAGCCAGTCACTGTGGCTAAAGCAGCAGCTGAAGGAATCCCCCACAAGGGAGGCTAACAGAGGGAAGGTGGTCAGAAATGAAGGTGGTCAGAAATGAGCTTGCTCTGACACCCACACCTACACATCCTGGCTGACTGCCTGCTGTCTGTGCCTTGATCTGATGTATTCAACACATGGCTGTTTGCTCCAGAACAGCTTAAATCAACATTTAATTCATAACCATCAACGTGTTAGACCAACACCTGAAATTGCCAGCTCTGGTGCTCTATGCAACCTGGTCCCTTCATCTTTAGTTCTCCAATTGGTAAGGCCAGCAGCAATATAAAAATACTACTCTTGCTACCCCCATGTTATCCCATTCCCTTTCTCCTCAAAAAGAATTCTTTCATCATGCACTGGGCCAAAAGAACCAAATGCTATTCTAGTGAGAGCAAAGCAAGCTAATCCTGCACACAGGGAAATCATCAGGAGGCAAGTGGGGAGACAGAACTGAGAAGCAACATGAATAGCAGGAGAAAAAAATTTGACAGCTGGGGCAAGGAAGAAAATTAGCACAATTTGAAGAAGACAGCACAGTCTAAAGGTGCCCTAGAGAACAGCCACTAACACTGAGAGGACAGACAAAGGAAAAGAAACTACAGTCAGGCCAATTTATCAGAGGTAAGCGCAAGAAAAGGAATGCAAATGGCAGACTTTAATTCAAGATCTCAGTCTTGACTTTGAAAGCTTCCACTCCTGCTCCACACTGGCTGCACGTTACCTTCCACTGCTTTGACCTTCTCCTCCATCTCCCTCTTCCTCTCCTCCTTTAGCAGCTGTTCCTGCTCCCTCTTCTGCACTGCTATAAGGATCTGGCGCTCCTCCTCTTCCTCTCTGCGCCTCTGCTTCTCCATTGAGCTCAGCACATTCGGGTTTACCTGTAACAAAATGAGGCACCAAAAACTGTAACACAGTGGCTCATTGAAAGCCGAGCAGAGGCAGGATTACTGTGAGGAGGTATTAAAGCACACCTACAATGAATGACTGGGAGGGAAAAAAAGGGGGAAAAAAGGATTTGTATGTATGATTTCCTAGATGAAAAGCGACATGGAAAGGGAAGTTATTTGCCAAGCAATGAAATCCTACTGACACAAGGACAATGGAAGGAGAAGCGATGGGTTAGACAAGCTGCCATTCTGTCAGGGATGCACCGTGCGCATTTCTCTTCCCTTCTGGGCAAAGGATCCAGGCTGTTGACACCCTTACACAACACCTCTACCTCTTCCAGCTAGCAGAGCTCTGCCTGTAAGTGTGAGAAGGACTACTTTGCCAAACCTGTCTCTGCTGCAAAACACAGAATACTTCAATAGGAAAAGTGTCTGGTACAGCCTTGCGTCAAGGTATCATTAGGAATGTTTTCCTTTCCTGTTCAAAATTTCTGTGTGCTAATCTCCCCTGAACTAGCTCTCATTTGTTTGTTTGGACAGTTTTCCTGCTGGGTCCCAAAACCAGTTCTCACAGTCAAGGACACCTGGCTCTTTATTGCCCCACTTTCTCACCTCCCCACTGCCAGCAGGCTGCAAGGCTGTTTGATCCTACTTAAGACTGCAGGCTTCCCAGACCAGGACTGCCTGCTCCTATTTCTCCAGTAAAGTATAAGGTATGTATATGGAAGTGTGGAATTATCTTTATTACCTTAATTTAGTTCTAAGACAAATGTATCAGTCATCCACCAGCCATACCTACCCCTGTGACCAAGATATGTGTGCCTTATCAGCAGGGAATATCAACCAGAAAAGAACAACACGCATACAGTTTGCCCTAACTTCATTTTCAGGGAATAACCAGCAACCACCACTTAGGCAGAAGGCATTTCCTGAGGATTAGCAATCAGCTGGGGTCCGTTGGCTGCTGCTCAGACCATCAACTTCTCCAGGCCCATTATTAATCCCCAGGGGAAAAAAAAACATATTCTGGCACCACGATTACTATTTTGTCCTTGTTTCATTGCCCAGGAATGGAACCTGGGGGTGTTTTGATGAACGCCTAGAAATGTTGTCTGGTTTCACTGCACATGCATTCCCCCTCTGCCCCCCCTTCCCCTACACAATCCTGTGCTGCCCTACAAACTCCCACTCCAGTTTTCTGTAGATGAGCACCATGCATCATCTCCAGCAGAAAAAATACATTAAGAGAATTATGCTTCAACCACCAATAGTCACAGAGAAGTGTCCAAGAGAGGGTCATGGGACTCTTGACAAAATTAGGACCACATCCTGCATTTAGGATATGAGCGATAAACCCCACCTGTTCTATGCTGATCCTTTAAGGTGAAACCCAGAGCTTCATCTCACCATGAGGGAACCATTCTCTTATTTTCCATTTTATATCTTTGTCAAAATGTTATCACTTTACTTATCTATCTCTTTCCTAGGGAAATCATTCTGTGAGTTCAGGTGCCTTGAGATTAGCCAGCTTCTCCTCACAATCAGTTTGAAGTTTGTTTCTCAACTCCTCATTCCATCCAATTATTCCTAGTTACACTCTTCTGGCTGAACACAAATTCTCCTTTTCTGCAGTCACATTCCAGCCTTTACCTTATTGACTTCCTCAGACACACACTACTCCCATATTTCTACAGTTAGATTAAATGTTTTCTTATAAAGCGATCCTTTCAGCTCCTTTCCATGATTATTCCAGTTGTCTCTCAGACCTTTCCTTCCTGATCAATATCTAAACACCAGGAAGGCCCAGGATTGTGCTATGACAAGGACAACAGATCAAGAACCTAGAGAATTGGGTTCCACATTTCCACTTCTGATTCTTTTTATATCCCTTTCTCAAAAGCTCTGCCATCTGATTTGCTACTCATGAGCTGCAAACAACTTCCTGTCAGACCTGATCCTGACCACTGTCAAACAGTTATCCTCTGACTTTCTTGATAAATCTTTAAATTGCAATAGGAATAGGAACCAAAAGAGTCAGGTAAAGAGAAAGAGGTGAGCAGGAACCCGCCACCAAACTTGGTATGCTAAGATATTTTAATGAGGATGTGACCATCAGCCTTTACATTCTCAAACCAGTAGAGGTAAGCCAGCCTGGCATGTTAGGATTTCTTTAATTGCTGGTACACAGGTGAGACCTTCCCTTTCCCTGGATTAAAACAACTTCCAGCATTCATGCCATATGGAAACAGGAACACAACATCCCAGGTGCAGTGCTCACACCAGGACCTCTCCAAGCCTGCAGGGCACACTCAGCTTTAAAGGCATGACACAGGATCCACAGCACGCTCCAGATCAACCCACCACAAATGTGGCATCAACAAAGCACTTTTAAACAAAGGAGAGGGTGTCATCCTAGCAGAAAAGGGAAAAGCAGAAACCATAAACATGGAGCAGTGAGCCCCAAGGACTGCCTGGTGTCCCACCTAGGTCCATTGGGGACGAGTGTGCTCAACTCAGGGCTTAAAAAAAATACACAGACATGAACCAGTAAACTCCTACTAGATTGGTGGAAGCAGACGCTTATTGGAACAACAAAAGCAAGAACCAAGCACAAGTTAAACTTCCTTCCTGACCACAGAGGTGGCAAAAGGCTTCTCCAGCTTCCTCCATGCTCGGAGGATAAATACCACGGCGACCGAGGCATCACCGCCTCCTTCCCTCCGGCAGAGAGCACTCCAGGACACAACATCACCACTGTCCCTGGCCCTGGGACTCTGAAAGAGCCCAACTTCTGCCTTTAGCTCTGCTCTCCAGACACTGGGTATCAGACTTCAGGGGCAGAAGGCCAGAAGGCGAGGGTGCCCTGGCCCCTCATCCGCCAAACCTTCCCGCTCAGGTTTCCGCAGCGCTCTCCTAATGAGGGTGCTGCTCAGGCGGCTCTTAATGAGGAGCTAATCTGAACCACCTGTTGAGAAATCCCCCTCAGGATCAGGAGCCCATGGAGCAGTTACATGTCCAACTCAAGCAGCAGCCAGGAGAAAGAGGTCACCTGCACGGGCTGAGGTTTTAACCCCCAGGCTCGCCAGCTGCCCACCCTGGCTTGGGGAACAAGCCATCAGACATGCTGGCACCTTCCCTGGCTGCCCCATGGCAGGGCTGGCTGCCCCATCCTGCTGAGGAGCAACACAAGCATCGCCATTGCCACTGGCTGGCTCCCTGTGTCCCGGCACAGCGGGTGCCAGGAGGGCCCCCTGCTCGCTGGAAGCGTTTCACTGGCCCACAGGCAGCAATTAACAGCCCTCTGCTGCTGCAGACCTGGAGCACCTGCGGTACTGATTAGCATCATTCAGGCTCCATGTGTTTCCCACTCCCCTCCTCCTCTGGGATTTCTGTTGCCTGTGAACAAACACGTGTCCCTGTGCTTCCTGCATGGTGGGCTTTGCAGAGAGCAATTCTGGCCCCTAACTGACCATCGCTGGGGTCTTATTTTCCTCTTGGCAGGCTTTTATCTGCAGCATGATGAGAGGTTCTTCCTTCCTTTTATTCATCTGTTTCTAAGTAATTACATTTATTGCACAGGGACCTGTACTTTCTCCTTTGTTTTGGGGGAACCCCTGGCTCTAGCTCACATGGCATATTCCCTGCAGCCTAATTTCCCAGGGTTTGACAAAACACCAGGTAACTACGTTTCCATTACATCTAGGGCGAGAGATTATGCCCCAGCCTGATAGAATTGAGACAATTTTTTCCTCTGAAGCTCATCTGGTGTTGTCTGAGCGATTGCTTTGGGTAGCAGTTGCCAGTTCAAAGACCCCCCCATCTCCACGGCCCCGTGTCCCCGCCTGCGCCGGCGTGACTGTTAGGGGCTGTGTGGTGAACTGGATCGGAAAACTGATCTATGTTAAAAACAACCCCGACCAAAGAAAAAGGTTATATTTAACTCCAGTCATTTTCCTGGGTCTGGTTCACTGCACAGACCCTCAAGCAGCAGCAGTGCTGTTGCACTGATGGGGTAGAGAGGAGATGAGGGTGAGGAGGCACAGAAAGCGCCGTTTGAGCCCACAAGGCTGCAGTTTGATAAGCATTTCTTTAAGTACCCTAAATTGTGACTTCCATTTCCAGCTGACCCCCTCCTAGCTCAGCTCCATACTGCATCAGTCATTCTCTCCCTCGGCGCTATCTACACCCTCATGTGTTTGCAGCCTCACGTTTTCCCCTTGGCTGAATTTCTGTCATTTCCCTTTGTAAGCCGGTTCTTCTAGCCCTCTCATCCTTCTTCAACTTTTCTTTGAACTGCCTCGAATGTGCCAGCACTTTCATTGAAGTGGAATTCCCCAGACTGAGCGCAGATTTCCATATGCAGCTGCAGCAAGGCCGGTTACCTCTGCGATGCAGAGGGCAGCACCTCCCTGCTCGCCATAGAAACCCCGGGTGTCAGCCTGCCTTTGACGGGCATTACCACCCATCTCTCTTTCAGCACAGGCACTTTCAAGCGACTCCTTCCCACTGAATGGCGATGCTGCGGTTTATTTCTTCCCCCAGGAGGCATCTGCTCTCGCCTCCCTCCGTCGGCCTCCCCCTCGCACCCCCCCTCACCTCCTGCTTGATTGGTTTGATGGGCTGATGGTCAGACATCCACCTGGGAGAAAACTCTGTCCGCTGCAGACGCTTCTCCTGAAACAGGGTTGAGAATTGAGGGAAGGAAAAAGAGAGTGGAGGAAATTAGGGCACATCGGTGACACTGGCAGGAGAAACTCTGAGGGCTAGAAGTGACCATGAAATCCCTATTAGCTTTACAAGGGTAGCAAACAAGGAAACTGAACTCAATCCAAGAACATCACGCTGACTGCAGAGCCTGTTTTACAAAGCATCTAGCCAAAGGATTCCTTTCCAGATCTGTCCCACCTGGAAACATTCAGCTGACGGCCAACACCCTTCAGAGTTTTGGGGCTTTGACTCAAAGCAGACTTAGCTAGGACAGCTAAGCAGCCAGTGCCCCTTCAGCAGAGCCAGCAGAGAAAGGGCAGTAAAAGAGGAATGACAGGCAGTTTGCATAGAAAAGCCAGGCTGTAAATCGCAGCAGTTCAAAAGCACAGAGATCCCCTGCTAGCAGGAAAGGGCAACAGAACATGGCTGAAGACAGTAACCCCTTCAGCCACCCTACCTACACTGCTGTGATTGCACCAGATCCTCGAGCACAATTCCAGCACTGCCACTGCATGGGGGAGAGTCTTCCCCCCATCCACAAGCCCCAACATCCATGACACTTGCAGGCTGTAGGTGCAGGGAGCAGAACGGGCTGACAGGCTGCTTGGATTTAGCTCTCCTTCACTCAGCAAGCATCCATACTCTTGGAAGTGGTCAAAGAGAGGTAAACAGGATGTCATGTCTCCTCACCTTCTGTGCAATCATGTTGCAGATCTCCGGCAGGAAGTCTTCACTCAAGAGTTTGTAGAGCTGCCTCTCTCTAAGGGAAGTCCTCTCTCTGAAGCTCTCTGTGACCTGCCTCCACTCCTCTTCCGTCTGGCACAGCAACCACCATGTCCCACGGCCAGGCCCCTGGGACCCTTCAAAAACATGAAAGGATGTTATCTCCACACAGTTATGACTAACAGCTCCTCTCCTTCTCTCCCCAGGGCTCAGGAAGAGCAAAAGACACTGGCAATGGCCACTGTTATGGAAAACATTCCATTTGCTACAGACCCAAAGCTCTCTTCATGCACCAGAAGCACTGCTGCCTCTGAGAGTGATGCCAACATAGAGAGGAAGTACTCAGGTGAAGAAATAATGGTGCCACATGGCAACACACAGGTAGTGTGACATCCCTGTAGCAAGCCCACATTCCAGTCACTGCAAACTGGAGAAAAGAATTTAATTTGTTTTTTTTTAATGGCGGCTGTCAGCCAGAGCAGGACATAGGGAACTGAAAATGTCTGATTTAGTCTGGCAGCAGAATAAAGTCATCAAAAAATAATGTAATTTGAAATAAGATTTTTTTTTATTTTAAAGTACTGCAAACTGTTTCTACAGTGAAAAAAATCCTCCTGCTCCCTGCAAATGAAATATTTTGTTTCCAGGCACTTGAAAGAGCAGAAGAGGAAGCGAAGGACAGGGTTCATCAGGCTGCCAGATGAGGGGGAAGTTCCAAAAGTTCACATCCCATCCCTGCTCGATCCAGAGTGGGACTGAAGCAGATCACCCACTGCTCTGAAGCATGTCCCAACCACCAAGACACTTTGAGAGCTGTTCCACCTTGTGTGAAACATTTGAATATTAATTGTGAAGGAAGGGCTCTCTTGCATTGTGGTTGGAACACCCACCTGGAGACAGGGAATGTGGTTCCTGCTCCACAAATGTTTACACAGAGCGGGAAAGCCTCATGGGTTGCAACTTGTATGCTTTTGCCCTAGGACGCTCTCTGAGCAGAAAAAGGTTGTTGCCCTTTTTTTTTTGTAGTGGGGAAAGTTTTGGATCAAACACATTCAGGCTGAGGGATTCAAACACCTTCTGGCTGAGGGGTTCTCAGCTCACTCCAGACTTTTCTAGGGCTAACCACTGGCTCCCAGAAAGAAAGCAATGGTCATCAGCACCACTGGCAGATGTCATGCACCTTCTGAACACATTCTCAAGCAAACTAACAGTGAAAAACAAAAAGTAAGAAACCTGAACCTGACTCTGGGCCCTTTGTGGATCTGAGCTGCGAGTGGCTCCGACATGATGTCAGGTTGTCCTAGGAAAGCTGGAAAGCTGCAGGCTCCCTCCAGCACCTGCCCTCTGTCAGGTGCCTGGGCTGCAGTGGCAGTGGCACAGACTTTCAGCTCTGTGAATGCACTGGGGACTGGGAACTGAGACAGCAAAGGTCCAGCCATGTGCTGGCTCTGCTGCTGTGGCTACACAAAGCCATCCATCCCTTGCCCACGTGCAGCAGGGAGCTTACCTGCATGCTGCCCCAAAGCCTGCATCCTTGTTTCTCATTCCCTTGCCAGCTGCCCACGGACAACTCATTTCAATAGCAAACAGGACTGAGGCACTGCTTTGTGCCAGCAGAAGATTACTCTGCAGCTGAAGTGACACAATTTGCTGGGAGACAATGATCTGATAAAACCCCCAGCGCCTCACGCGCATCGCTCCGGCTCTGCTGCCTGGCTCCGGAGAAGCCGGAGTGGCCGCCAGGAAATCTGAAGACAAAGAGCAAATGGAAGGAGGCTCGGGAAAGACAATGCCACCCTTGCCTTTTATTGTGAGGCAACAGGCAGGCTGAGTCCCTGGGTTTTGTGGAAGCCAGTGGATACACATGTATGACAAATGAGTCCCAGCTCCCTTGAACTCACTTTCACATCATGCTGCTAACTCGCTTTTTGCCTCGTTAACCCTTAGCTGGGTACCCCCAAAGACATCATTTACCACTCTCAGGCACCCAATGGCCATGAGGAAGGAAAAGTGAGAGGATCAAAAGGGTTCTTCCTTCCCTGTCTTGGCATCACTGACTCCACACTCTTCCCCATCTGAAAAAACACACCTGCTAACAAGAGGGGTTTGTTTTTACCTTACCCCTGGGAGGCTGAGGACCATTCACAGCCTGCTTTTTTAGGTGAGCCCTTGAATTCCAGTGTATCCCAGCAGGTTAGGTTTCTTCATCCCAAACTCAGCCATGACAAAATAGGAAGCCTGCAGGTGCCCAGGCTCCCAAATGCCAGGCAGTCTGTAACACAAACCCCTCCTTTCCAAACTTGGCCCCAACCACCAGCAGAAGGACTCTCCTGAGAAAAGCTGGGCTGTCTTTCAGGCATCTCCCTGGGTTTTGATAATTTAAGAGCCTTATTGGCATGTCGTATCAACCCCAATACTGCAAAATCTCTTTACCATTTCTTATCTGAGTCTCGTGGATAAGCAAGCTTTCTTCTGCCTTCTCCCTACCAAAAAAGAAAGAGAAGGAGTGATACAAAAAGTACATTACTTCACATCACCAAAATGTAGCTGTTTCTGAGGAGAAGAATAGGGAACACCACAATTATTCATTGCAGAGCAAAACCATGAAAAGAACACTGCAGAACACACCTTTGATACATATTTTAAATACATATTTATCATAGCTTCGTAAAATTTTTGTAAATGAAGGGTGCAGGATGAAGTTTGGCAAGTACAATATCTCAGTTCTCAAGGGAAGCATCCCAAAATCTATATGGACTCGACTGGCCAGGATTTCTGGCTTCAAGCCACACAATGAAAGTATTCTTTATCAGAAGCAAATTCCCTGGCACCTCTTGGTGGAACTGCATTTGAAGAGAGGTGGTAGGAAGAGTGATGCCCACTGTTTCACCAAACTTCCAGCTCAGTCAGAATTCGCTTTGGAGAGTAATCAAAGCATCCACCAAGTCTGAGCTTGCTTCACTTCTGAAGTGCATTGAAATTATGGTTGCATGGTATATACATAGTTATTGGGGGAACCCCAGAAATACATTATACTTCCCTCTGGGAATGTATGTATTTTACGTCTGTTGCAGGAAGAGCCCTTCCATACCTCAGCAAATTTTCCTCCAGTAGTTTTTTCCGCTTTGGAGGTCGCCCTCGTCTCTTGCCCGTTTTCCCAGGAACATTTGGGGTGTTTGTCTGCCCCCCACATCCCCTGAAAAATGGCAAAACCACCATGAAATATCTGCCAAGCAAGGCAACCGAGGCTGGCAGGATGGGAAAAGGGCACGGAAATGGGAACAGCTGCTAGGATCCCAACCAAAGGAGGGATTAAATCAGAGCAGCAACAGGACGGGGAGGGGAGAGGAGGCATTCCCACTGGCTGGGAGCCTGATCTGGGAGCCGGAACGGTGCGGGGCAGACAGGCAGGAATGCAGTGGGGCAGGCAGTATCGCTCCCAGGGCAGGCTCTGCCGGTGCCACAAAGGCTGCAGGACACAATGCATGGCGGGGCAGCTCCCAGTCTGCTTGGCAACTCCGGTCCCGCCCGCGCTGCCCCTCTCCAGGCCCCGCTCCCCCCGGCACAACAGCAGTCAGGCGGAGCCCCTCCAGCCGGGCTGGCTGGGCTGTGCCCCCCTTGCCCCTGCACCCAGGCATGGGAGGGGGTGTTCGTGGGGCTGTTACCTGTCTGCAGCCAGCTCCCCGTTGGTTTTGCCCTGCACCGGGTCCTCCTTGTACATCCTGGTGCCGTAGAAGTACCAGTACAGGGCACCGCTGCTGTCCTCGCCCAGCGGCTCCACGCGGAGGCTGTCGGCGTCCAAGCCCTGCGCCCACCGGGAGCCCCCCGCCAGACGGTGACAAGTTGAAAAGCGGCCACATTGTCACACAAAACATGATGACACCCCCTCCGTAAACACCTCCCTCCCTCATTCTCTCCCTCCCACCATGCCACAGCAGCAGTACAGCTGCTCCTCCCGGCCGAGCTGGGAAAATGTTACTCCAGGGGGAAGATGACGTTCTCTCTCTGTCCAGGGAGGGATTTAGATTGGCATCTCTAATTTGAATGGCCTCTCTCGTTTTAACATTTCATCTCTGGTGCTCCTGACAGGGAAGGTCTAATTAGTGCTGGCGACAGTCACGCACAGCCCTGAGAAGCTCCCTCCCCCCTCCCCTGCTCTACCCTCCCCCAGCTCCCCCAGTATACTTCATCCCCATCCTTTCATCTCACAGCATCCCTCAGCAAGGCAGCAGTCTCTGCTCTCACAGCCCTGCCATTACCATTAAAGCATCTCCAAATTCACTCTTTGCAGAAAGAGTAGCCAATGAAGCCAACTTCCTCAACGACTCCAATGTTATGAATACACCCACATGGGACAAGGCCCCAAGTTCTGAGCAAGGCAGAGGAGGCCAAAGGGAACTGCTGACCCACTGTGACCCCTTCTCATCCCAGGAAGATTCTGATCTGGCCCAGGTTCTGTGGCCACAGAGTCTCCCTCATCCCTGCTGCCCAAAGCACCTTGAGGAGGTCGAAGACATCGTCCGCGTCGAGGCGGTAGTCACAGAGGCGGTGCAGGATCTCCACCCGCGTGCGCAGGGGCAGCTCCTGGAAAGTGCACTCCCTCAGAGGGTTGGGCTTCCCTTCCTCCAGCTCCCAGCGGTAGTTGATGATGTCCTCCAGGTAGCTGTGAAACGTCTGGGATCTAACCAAGGAAGAAAGAAATCTCAGACACTTACTGTAGTTTTCCGTGTCCAGAAACGCCTGGTGCAGCAAGCAATGGCAACCAACACAATGCAGAGACAGAGAGTACCTGAAGGAAAACTGTTGGGTATAGCTGGGTGCAGCTCTGTCATTCACATTCCCAAAACACAGCAATCTCATTGCAGCATCACATGATGTCATGTCACAGGAAGCTTCTTATACACAGTGTTATTTCTTTCTAAGCAGAATGAGCCAAACATGGTAGCAACTCATCTCCTTTCTATCCCAACGGGCAGTGCCTTGTGCTAGCATCAACACCCACCCTTAACTAAAATGGAGTGCAACAAAATTTGAGTCTGCTCCCCTTCCAACTCTTCCCATTTGATATGGTGACAATTTTCTTCTGATTTCCCATTGCCCTTCACATCTGTCATTGCCAAGCCCTGCTTCTCTCTAATTCTAAAGAAGTTTTCATGCCCTGGTTCAGTGGCTTGAGCCTTTGCATAGCTGATTGCTTCCTCCCCACTTTGCTGCTGTATGCTTCCCTTATTCCTGATGTGGGCCCTGGCCTCCTCTCTGTCCATCCCCACAGGTGCTGCCACTTTCTTCCTCCACTGGTGGCTCTGTCAGGACATCTGTACAGCCCACCTCACACACGTGGCTTGGATGCTGCCACACAAGGCTCATCCCCAACAGGAGTGCTCCTCCCAAAAAAGGAGTCAATACAGAGGACTCCCCCGTCTGTACTCTTTCAGATCATCAAGATGAACACTTGAGCTCTTCATAAACATTACTATTAAAATGATCTTTCTAATTTTCTAGCTGGGTCACATTAAGTCCTACTTTCACTGCCAGCAGTTCATCATAAAACCCAAGGAAGCAGATATTTCTCACCCTCATCTTGCACTGAGGGTGAATGTCCCTATATGACACATTTAAGACCACTGATGGAGCTTAAGGCTAAAAGAACTCCTGTCTATATTTCAATGACACTTTGAGCATTCATTACTATGAATGCTCAAAATTTCAGGGGAAGGAATTTCAGGGAAAGTGGCCATGTCCCTAAATATAAAACTCTCTGAAGATCTGTCCATATGACTTTGAGTCCTGAGGGTTGCCAGGCTCGCTCAGCCTGCTCATGTTGTGTACCCTGAGCAAGCAAAAGGGGACCCCCCCATGCCCCAGCCATTCTTGCACACACGGGAAGTCCATATGCCAGCAAGAACACCACTGGGTACACATTCCCACCAGCTCTCAAAAAGGCAGCTCCACTTGATAGGTTTTTGGCACAAGCAGATTACTCTATATGATTAATGGAACGGCGCCAGCACTACAGAATTGCATTTCCCTGAGAAATTGCTAACTTCTACAAAAGCTATTATATTTTAACAAAGAGGTGGAGGAGTGTGATCCAGCTGAAGAAAGATCATTAAAAGTCAACAAGAAGTTAGCTATTAGACAGGGGTCTTCACACATTTGGTAAAGACCAGACTTCTTTGCAAGGACCACGACCGGACAGTGACTGAGAGAATGAAGGAACAGATGCCTCAAGCCATGTCCACCTGGCAGCATTTCCCTTCCTCCTTGGGTAGAGAGAAGTGCAGATCACCCTGCAGATCTCTCCCCACCAGCCTGCTTCTTTCTGACGTCAAACGCAAGCTGACCTCTCAGAGATATCTGCTCTCACTGCACCAGTTACCAGCCCTCTGGTTGTATTTAACCACAGATGCTTGAGTGTACCTGCATCTAGTGCCCTCTGCAACCTGGAGCTTGCTCCATCTGCATGACACAAGCAAAGAACCAGTGTTCCCAAGTATCATTGTTTCACTAATATCAGCAATCACACAAATATAACTTGGAACAGGCCCCCATGCTGACAAAGTTCAGACAGAAAGGGAGGACTGATGTTTTATGAAATGCCTCAGAACTGCCTCAAGTAGTAATTTTAGGGTGAAAACTACAACGAACATCCTTTTTTAAAGTGAGGTATTCAGTACACAGTACACCTACCTGAAGTAGCTGTGCATTCCTGCATCGTGTTTTCCAAATATCCCAAGACCTAACCTCCAGCAAGGACTTTGATTTGAGAAAGAGGGCAATAATAGATTCCCTTTACAGACTTTTTAAGAGTGGAATTTGATAATGTATCTTAAATGTCAGATATTTACAGAAGCCATTAGATTAAAACAAAGAAAGAAAGAAAGAAAGAAAGAAAGAAAGAAAGAAAGAAAGAAAGAAAGAAAGAAAGAAAGAAAGAAAGAAAGCTTTGATTTGCTACTCAGAACAGAAACAATAACCAGAATATCTTTTCCTGAAAGCAGTAAAGTATCACTTGTATTTGGATACTTAGTCCAGAACTAGAAGGCAAATGACTGTAAGCTCTCAGACAGCATTCAAGTTCCAGCCCCACAAGTTCAGTTTTTCAACTCTGCCAGAGCTCAAGGCAGAAGATTATTTAATCAAATCTAATAGAGAGGTTCTGGCTATTTCCAATAAAATGGACTGAAAAAGCAGTTTCCCTAGGATCCTGAATAACTAGTGGATGAAAAGGATTGCCAGGAAGAAACCACAAAAGTAAAAGGGCTCTATCTACTCCTGGTTTTTTTCCTACCTAAAAAAAAGCAGGAAGGCATGGCTCAGACAGATACTTTTACCACTTGCATGAGTTCACTTATCTTGCTCTATCATTTTGGCTGCTCTCAAAGAAAACTGATCCAGGAAGCCGTTTAATTCCAGAAGATCATTTGAAATCTTTGCCTATGTAACTCTCCTTCCCCCCAGGGATTGGCTCTGTTGATTTAACCAATTTGGTTTTAGTTTGACTTTCACATAAGTGGCTAACACTAGAAATTTCCGCCGTCCACCCGGTGTTCAGTGCATTACAAGCTCTGTTCTTAAGAGTACTTTTGAGTTCCTACCCCCATCAATTTTCAAAGACAGCTACTGTGCATTTGTCGCTTTGAATAAGGATAGAAATAAGAACCAGAGATGGGAAACAGATGTCTCGAGGCATTCCCAATCACTCTCAATCTTACCCAATTTATATTTTCCTTCTTAATGGGAACTGACCTTTTTTCTCCAGATAAATGTATGGTGCTCGTCTTCCCCCTGTCTGCCACACCTACAGTGAGTTTCACTTACCCCATCTCTTATATTTTCCTTTGAAAAAGTTTCTGAAACAGCTCTCTTGGTTTGGAGAAGAAAATCTGCAGGGAGGACAGCAATCTGTGAGAACCCTGCCCTTGGGGTTCTTCCCTGCTCAAAGCAGAAATGCCCAGGAATAACTGTTTATAAAACAGTTATATTTTTATAAAATTAAAACTCAAGAATAAGAGACTGGATCCAGGAATGGAATTACCTGGATACAGTCTGTTAAATACCCTTCTTTCAAGCTCAGCAGTAGGACACCAATACACTTGGAAGTCCTACAGAGTCTCTGCTGCAGCTGAGAACCTCCAAAGACTCTTTTGTAAGTGGGAAGAGGGCAGGAAGGAAATCACTGAGCTGAGGAGACAGATGTATCTCTTCTCCAGAGGTTCTCAGCATCACTGAAATGTGCAAAACCACTCAGCAAGTGGAGGCAGTGTTAGGTCAGTCGTGTCTTTTTCTCTACAAACTGGAGTGTTCCCAAGGAGGTTGAACTGGTACATGGGCACATTCTGTCTCAGGGCATCTATCCAAAGGAAAACCAACCCTCTTTTGAAAGTAAATTGGGAGTCTTAGAAACAATTTACAAGAAAAGTGTGAGACCACGGGCCACAACTCTCACCACCTCTTCACCACTTCCTGATGTACAGCACAGGCAGCTTCCACACAGCTCAGTAACCACGGAAAAGCACTACAGAAACCAGCTACAACAGATCAGAAAAGGTACCTCGAAGAACTCTGCAACTCTAAAACTTCTCCCGTGCCAACTCGACTAGCATCATTAATATTTCATAAAACAGATAAACTTTCCCTCACTTGTCAAAACATCCCTTGCTTTGCAGTTGCCCCCCGATGTGCAAAGCAATTTTTGGATAGCTGTAGTGGGGCAGTGGTGGAATGGTACATGCATATCCATGTGGTACATCCCACGTGGATGCAGATGATTTTTCAAGAGCCCAGTACAATTCTTAGCCTTATCCCTGGCTACACTCTGAAACCACAGGGCTGCTGTCAGAGGTCCCTATCTTTTGTAGCAAAGATTAGAAAGGAGGTCGAAGCTGAATTGCATCTGTGGTTGAAAGTTTTAATCGTATGTTGCATACACAAAGAGAAATGTGGGGCACAGGGAAGGACACGACCTAGCACATCTGTGTCAAAGGGGAGGAACAGCGTCAGACAATCCACAAGAGTACCACCGAGGCTGCAGCTCAAGTTGCCTGTGATCTTTAGTAGCAGCTGCAAAAAAATCAGGGCATAAAGAAGATGGAGCAAGTTGAGGGAGGGGCTGCTCTCCACCATGGGTATCAGCGCCCAGAGCAGCCAGAGAAATGATCCAGCCCTGACAGCTCAGCGCCGCAGCCCGGCCATCTGCTGCCCGGCTGCCTCCCAAAGAGGGAGGATTCTCTGTGCTCCAGAGAGGGGAGCTGAGGACTCCTCCCCCTGCCTGGCAATCCCAGCGTTTTCCCTGCTCAAAGGAGAGGCAACCCTTCCCATCTCCCCAGCTTTGAACGCGTGGGGTCACGCTCTGCTGTCACAAAAAAGAAGCTTGGTCACCGTGCCCGGCTTCCTAGAGGGGCTCCTTTGGAGACCTCAGGAACAGAGGGTGAGAATTTCACAGAGCTGATGGGATACATGGAAAAATTTGGTCGGAGCTTCTGGTGTGCATGCTTGGCAGGGAACAGCTGCACCTAGAGACCCCAGCCCCACAGGGACCCTGGAGGAGCAAACTCAATGTGAAATTCCTTCCGAGCAAATTGGGGCTGGAATTATGTGTACAGACACACAATGCTTATTTTTTTTTATCCTCATGCCCAAAGGAAGCGGAGTCACTTGTGCTTTTAGTTTTAAAGACTC